GCCTGGGGCCTGCAGATGAGAGGGGTGGCCTTGAGGCCTTTTCCCCATTGTTCTGCTGATTAGCACGTGGCTCCCTTTTATCTGTCCACATCTTTTTTTTTTTTTTTTTTTTTTACTTGAGCTGCAGAGGGACAGAGACAGAGGGCTCCCATCTGCTAGTTCACTCCCCAAATGCCTGCAATGACCCCTGGCTGGAGCCAAAGCCAGGAACCAGGAATTGTGTTTGAAGGTTAACCTTGGGGCCAGAGCTGTAAAGCCGCCTGCAGTGCTGGCATCTCATATGGGCGCCAGTTTGAGTCCCGGCTGTTCTGCTTCCGATCCAGCTCTCTGCTTTGGCCTGGGAAAGCAGTGGGAGATGGCCCAAGTCCTTGGGCCCCTGCACCTGCATGAGAAGACCCAGAAGTTCCTGGCTTCTGACTTCAGATAGGTGCAGCTTTGCAGCTTCGGCCATTGCAGCCAACTGGGGAGTGAACCAGTGGATGAAGACCTCTCTCTCTGACTCTCCTCTCTCTGTGCAACTCTGACTTTTAAATAAATAAATAAATATATTTTTTTTAAAAAAAATAAAGGTTATTTTTAAAAAACTTATTTTTACTTTTTTTTAAAAAATTCATTTATTTATTTGAAAGTCAGAGTTACACAGAGAGAAGGAGAGGCAGAGAGAGAGAGAGAGAGAGATTGATCCTCTATTAATGGCCGGAGCTGAGCCAATCTGAAGCCAGGAGCCAGGAGCTTCTCCGGGTCTCCCATATGAGGTGCAGGGGCCCAAGGACTTGGGCCATCTTCCACTGCTTTCCCAGGTCACAGCAGAGAGCTGGATCGGAAGTGGAGCAACCGGGACTCGAACCGGTGCCTATATGGGATGCCAGCACTGCAGGCAGTGGCCCTACCCACTACCCCACAGCGCCAGCCCCTATTTTTATTTACTTGAAAGGCTGTATGTGTGTGTGTGTGTATCTTCCATCTGTTGGTTCACTCCCCAAATGCCACCACAGCCAGGGCTGGGGGCAGGAGCCTGAAATTCTATCTGGGTCTCCCACATGGGTGGCAGGGACCCAAGTACTTGAGGCATCACCTGCTGTCTCCCAGGATGCACATTAGCAAGGAGCTGGATTGGAAGCAGAGGCAGGATCTGATCCCAGGCAGTGTCACCCTACTGTGCCACAGTGCCTGCCCCAGAAGCTGGGAACTTCACTCAGGTCTCCCTCGTGGGTATCAGGGATCCAATCACTTGGGATATTGCTGCTGCCTCTCAGAGTCCGAATTAGCGGGAAGCCGGCGTCAGGAGCCAGGGCTGGGGGTCACCAAACACAGGCACGCTAAGCTAGGCCGAGGGCATTCTTAACAGACAGGATAAGTGCCTGCCCATTTAGCTAACGTCTGTAGCAAGTGGTTTTCCCACCATGTGGTCTGCCACATGCTGCTTCGTTCCTTCTCACCCGATTCTTGCAGTAGAACAGGCAGCCAGTAACACCTGAATGCTTTGCTTCTTGGAAATCTCTTCCACCAAACTTAAGCTCATCTCCCCACAGCGTGGTCAGGGACTGAATGGCCGCAGTAAAGCCAGCTCCTCTGCCACGGAGAAGCAAGGGTGGCCTGCAGTCCGATTCCCAGGAGAATCGCCATGTCCACCTGCGAGCGCCTCAGCGTGGCCTTACATCCTGGTCTCCCGAGCCCGCACCCGAACACCCGCAATGCGCTCTCCGGGCTTTCTCCAGCCTGCTCGTCAAAACTCTCGCAGCTTTCTCCAGTAAGCCAGTGCCAAAGGCGCCTCCACAAATCCAGGTAGTTACAGAATTGGCCCCACCTGTTTTTTTTTTTTTTTTTTAAAGGTTTGTTTATTTGAAAGGCTGAATACAGAGAGGCAGACACAGAGAGAGGTCTTGCATCCATTGGTTCACTCCTCAGATGGCTGCAATGGCTAGAGCTGTGCCGATTCGAAGCCAGGAGCCAGGAGCTTCTTCTGGGTCTCCCACATGGGTGCAGGGGCCCAAGGGCTTGGGCCATCCTCTACTGCTTTCCCAGGCCATAGCAGAGTTGGACCGGAAGTGGAACAGCCAGGACTCAAATTGGTGCCCATACGGGATGCTGGCACTGCAGGCGGCAGCTTTACCTGCTATATCACAGTGTCAGCCCCCACCTCTGCCAGTTTTTTGGTATCAGTTTTTCTCCATTAGCTGTTTTTGTTTCTGTGGTTTTTAAAATCTATTTTTGGGTCATGACTACAACATAATGCCTGAGGCAACTAACTTCATATAGAGAAAAGATTTATTTAGCTCAGTTTGGGAGGTTCAAGTCCAAGATCAGGTGGCCCCACTGGTTGGACATCCGGTGAGCAGGTGGTGGTGTGCAGTGCAGAGGTCACATGGAGAGCCAAGGGAGCACCTGGCTCAGGCTTCTTGTAAGGAGCAGAAATTAAACAGCTCCAGCATAATATTACTAAGAAATAAGCAAGAGCTAAGCTGATTGCAGGAGATCTGCGTGGACGTGGTAAGAACCACGCACACCCTCCTGGGGACCTTATCAGCCCTTTACTGACCGCCCAAAGTGCATATAAACTGCAGCCTGAAGAGGCCCAGAGAGACTCTGAACAAAGTCTCTTGAGGCGGCAGAGAGAAAAGCTCCGGGTTAACCCCCCACGCTCAGACCTTCCCGTGAGAGTTCTCCCAGCCAGCCCTGCGCAGGCCCAACGCTGAGGATCTGAGCTCCCTGAAGCCCTGCTCGCCAAACTACTCACCCTTCGTAGTTAGGCTCGGGGGTACCATCCTGCAGATCTGGTGAGAATCTGCCCTGGGTGGCTAAGACGCCTTGGGAGGAGCATCAGAGGCACTCTGGGACCTTGGGTGGCCGGTTAGCGCAGTGTGCTGCATAAATTAGAATGTGTGACTTCCCCACTGCATAATAAAACCCTTATTGGAACCAACACAGCTCTCCACAAGGGGGGATGGCAAAAGGGGGAGGGGAGAAGCAGAGCAGAAGGTGCCCGGAAGGAGGAACAGCGCCACAGCTGGAGCTGACCCTCCGCAGCCAGCACCCCAGGGACTCCTTGGCCCACCCACACTTCCCTCTCCATGCCCTGGATACAGACAAGGGGGAGGGGTCTAACCAGCTCCCAGAAAAAAACATGCAAAGAACTGAGTCAGCTTAGAGTCAATTCTTAAATATTTAATTCCCATTTATTTAAAGTTCCGTCAGTCTGTATACACTATTTATATTAAAAACACAGGAAGCTGGGGCTCCTAGCAAAAATATACATTTCAATTTTGGAGACTTCAGACACTGAGAAGAGCTGTATCCTCAGCACCAGACCTGGACAGGGGTAGGGACAGGGTGCATGGTGGGGGAGGGAGTCAGGCACAGCAGCTCTCCCTTCACAGCCTCTCCCCTGCCCCAAATCCCTGCTCAGCTAGGATGGGAGGGAAAGGAAGAACCCTGCCAGCATACAGAGTGAGCCTGGGGCGCAGGCACGGGTGCTGGCGTGGACGCGGAGGGCCACTTTCCCCCTAGATCTGTGGTCAGACGGAAAGGCCCTCTGGGAAGGAGAGCCAGACAGGAGCCAGGAAGCCTGGGTTCCAACCCCAGCTTGCCCACCCCCCTGCTCCGAGACCTTGGCCATCCCTCGCCTGTGCGGCTGGCGGGCGCTCTGCCCTGCTGCTCAGATACTGCTCTCCCAGCTGGGCTGCAGCCCCTCCTCTCAGGTGAAGGCACCCCCACGTGGGAGCAGGCAGGGCAGGGCCAGGGGAATGGGCCCAGGCCTGGCAAGGTCCCTGGTCATCAGGGGTTGTGCAGGGAGACTTGCAGGTGACCAGCGAGGCCAGCTACAGGGGAAGGGGAGAGCAGCAAGCGGATGTCAGGAAGGACAGGGCCAGTGTATGCCGGGCAGTTCCTGCAGTGAGCAGGTGCTGGCTGACTCAGCAGGGTGTTCCTGGCCAGTCTACGAACAGGGCCCAGCTCTGCCTGTCCACCGCGAATGCTCCCTTTGGGAATGGAACCTGTGGGTACAGTGATTTCAGTGCTGTGCTGTGTGCGGGGAGTGACAGCTCTAGGGAGTACTTGGGGGCGTGGGGCGTGAGCTTCCACTGAGCTGGCAGGGGCAGGGCCAGGCTCTGTAGGCGGCTGCTACAGGGTGGGTGGGCGTGGGTGCTGACAGAGGGCCTGCCCCAAGCCCTCCCTGGGGTCAGAACTAAGTGTGCTGTTCCCCATCAACCACCAACTTCCTTCTGCCTCCTCTTCAGGGAGGGGTGGGGCCCCCACCTGGAGGGAACCCTGCCTCCTTCCAGGCGAGGGAGGCTCCCAGCGGCCAGCGCAGGGGCCATCAGCAACACTGGCCTGGAAGAACGGTGTGAAGAGGAATGGAAGGATGTGGGTGTCAGAGACTGGGGGTGCCACTGGGGTGAGGGGCAGCCTTGGCCTGCAGGGGGTCAGTCTGGGGAGGAATCTGGCTCAGCCCAGGCCCCGCCCCCGCCACTGTCCTCTGCAGCAGGGACCCTGCGCCCCTGGGCCGCTGCTGCAGTCAGCCCAGGCCAAGCTTGGCTTCCCTGGGAAGCCAGGCCCCGAGAGCTTAGTGTTTCTTTGGATGGCTCAAGGCTTCCGTCTGAAGACAGGCCCCTAGGCCTACAGGTGCAGTGACGGGCAGAGGGCAGCCCCCTCCCCCTTCTGCTCCTGGGAAGGGGTCCTGTTCTGCGCTGCTGGTGAAATAATACAAACCATCTTGGAGAACGAGACAGACAGATGTGGGCACAGAGACATGGCGGGTGAGGGAGGGAAGCCAGGGAGGAAGGAAGTGGGACCCTACAGAAAGGGAAAGAGAGAGCAGGGAAACGAGAAAGACAGAGGTGTGAGGAAGAGGGGGACCACAGGGGCTGAGGGGAGGAGGGAGAGCAGGAAAGGAACACAGGGAGCGGGGCCATGTGGGTGGGAGCGCGGGTGTGCGATCCGCGCTCTGCGTGAGCCGAGTGCTCCCGGGCTGGGCAGCGGGAAAGTCCCGAGGGGCCGGCCTCTCAGTACATGTCCTTGTAGATCTCCTGGAGCAGGGGGTGCAGCAAGGTCTCGGTCTCGGTCTTCTTGATGCGCTGCATCATCTGGGCATGCTCGGTGACCAGCTGCCGCAGGTCCGCCATCTTCTGCAGCAGCTTGGGGAAGAGGTACTGGGCGTCGGGGTGGTTGGCCTGCAGGTGGAACTCAAGGGCACGCAGGATGGTGTCCTGGATGGCCTCCACCTGCGGCACATTCATGAGGCCTGGGCGGTCTGCGGGGACACAGGGCACGCATGGGGTCTCAGAAGGGCAGAGGAACTCACCTACTGCATCCTGCAGGGGGAGGCCCGAGGAACAGCGGGGCCTCCTTGACTGGGGCAGACCCAACCCCTCCTGTCAGGGCCACTAAACTGAGCGTTCTAGCCCCTGCCCCAGGCTTCCTCTTTTGGTGTTGCTGGTAGTCTTTTTTTACCCCCTTCTAGGCAATACAGTGTCATGGTTGAAGAGCCTCAATGCCTGGGCCCGCTGGCACTGCGGCATAGCAGGTGAGGCCACCGCCTGTGAGGCCGGCATCCCATGTGGGCACTGGTTTAAGACCTGGCTGCTCCACTTCCAGTCCAGCTCCCTGCTAATGTGCCTGGGAAAGCAGGGCAGGATGGCCCAAATGCTTGAACCCCTGCACCCATGTGGGAGACCTGGATGAAGCTCCTGGCTCCTGGCTTTGGCCTGGCCCACCCTTGGTCGTTGCAGCCATTTGGGGAGTGAACCAGCAGATGGAAGATCTCTCTGTCTCTCCCTCTTTCTGTAACTCTGCTTCTCAAATAAATACATAAATCTTTAAAAAAGAGGGGGAGAGAGAGACTCAATGTCTGGATTCAAATTCTGTCCCCAGAACTCTAGTGGCCTATAGACAGGTCACTCAGCCTCTCTGGCTGGTTTCCTGGCCTGTGAAATGGGGACAATAAAACACCTTCTGTACAGCGCGGCTGTGAGGACTGGGGACTCAGAATCTCTGAGAAGGAACCGGCACGACACAAGCTCTCAGCCACTGTGAGTTAGCATGCTTACTGCTGTAATTATCGTGTTGCAATCTGAAGCCCCCATTAACATGACAGCATCCTCCTGTCCAGTCTCTTCCCCTCTGCCTGCGTAAGACGGGTCTGCTCCTGCGGGCACGGCCAGCCCCGTGCTCCTTCCCATGCTGTCCGCCGTCCGGCTGTGTGGGGCTGGCCCACCTGCCCTACCCTGACTCACCTCCGCACAGAATGATGGCTGCGATGAACAGAGCCAAGTCACTGTCATCAAGTTCAAGGGCATTGAACTTGACAGCAAACTCAAACTTGGGCTCGATGATGTCACTGAAGGGCTTGCGGAGGCTGCGCAGGAACTCACGGGTGACGAAGCCACTGCCATTGGCCACCAGCAGCCCGTCTTTGTTGACGATGGAGGCCAGCATGGCGAAGATGGCCTCATGCACACCGTACTTCAGGAGGGTCACCTGGTCGTTGAGGAAGAGGCTGCTGAAGTTGGGGATGCTCTTGGCGAACTCCGTGAGCTCCCGCACGGTCTCCACGGTGGTGTACTGGCAGCGGTAGAACACGTGCACGCTGATCTCCTTGTAGGGCGGCAGGCTGTTCACCAGCTGCTTCCACACCAGGCCCTTCTCCGCCTGCCACAATGTCTCGATGTCGTGGATCACAAAGGGCTGAAAACCAGGCCCTGGTAAAGGCCAGGCCTCCAGGGACCCCACCCGCACTGGGTGCTCCCCACACCTGCGGCAAGTACCATGAAGCTAGGGGAGAGAGGAGGCCTGGCTCTCCCAGTGCCTGGGACACTGCCAGGCCGAGCAGCGACACTCACCGCCGTGTGGCTGGCCTTGCCAGTGAGGATGCCGCGGGCCTTCTTTTTGGTCATGTTGAAGTTTTTCAGGTAGGCATTGTAGATGTGCTTGGAGAAGGCCTTCAGGTCCGCCACCTGTGGGCTGTGCTGGTGCCCCTCGACCGCCGTCAGCCCTGCCACCAGCTTCCTCTTCTCGGCTTCTGGCATCCGGCCAAAGCGGATGGCTGCACAGGGAGGAGGGAGTCACTGAGGGGCGCAGGCAGGGCCGGCACCTCTCACCCCTGCCCCTGGACAGGTGCACGGGGCACAGACAGCGACGTCTCCTTGAGCCTTCGAAGCTCGAGAGTCAGCAGGTAGGCGTGGAGCGGCCCCCTCCGGACGGAAGCTCCTCGAGGACGGGGGCTCTGTCTGCCCACGGTGCCCGACACGAGGGTCCTCCCTCACTGGGGGGTCGGGTGACAGGGCTCTGTGCTGAGCTCTGCCTGGCCGCTCACTAGTGCCACACCTCCGGGAGGACAATGATGATAATGTTCCTTCAATTAGGGGGTGCCGGGCCAGTCTGGTAGGAGTACTCACAAAGTGAGCACTCAGAACCAGTCCTGATGAGCCCACAGAACACCAGCCTGGCTTCTGTCAGAGAGAGAAAGGACGAGCCAGCCCCAGGACTCCCACCTAAGGAACGGGGCTGGGAGGATCAGACCCACCAATCTCCATCACAGAGGAGAAGCGGCAGACAGAGGGCTCGGGCCCTGCCACCACCCGCTGGGGCATCCGTGGGGAAGAGCAGGGTGAGCCGCTAAGCTGCCTGAGGAGCTAACTAAATGAGTGGCCTCCGCTGACCTTTGGGGCCCGAAGCCTGCAGCGTGGCTCTGTCTGCTGGAGATGGTGGGCCTTCAGGAGATCCCTGCTGGGCTCCCGACCACTGACCTGTGTGGTCACTTACTGGCTTCCGCCCGCCCTCAATGGCCAAGGTGGGCTGAGGTGATCCCTGTCCTTGGCAGTGGCTTTCTGTGCTGTCAGGTTATCCAAGACAGGCTTGAGATTCCAGGAGTGGGGTTCCCAACTCTCCTGAGCTGGGGGTCAACTGTTGGTTCCTTCTGGGCCAGAGCAGGTGAGCCCCAGTTACAGGGTGGTGGGAACCAGTCTAGGCCCAGGGCCCGCGGTGGATGCTGGTGGCCTGGGGGACGGGCCAGGTGTTGGGCTCCTAGGCCCAGGGTCTAGATTGGCAGTGTCTGTAGTGCTTACTTACTAGGGCACAGGCTCTGCTCTAGGGGCACCCCCTCTCTGGACTGGACTGGGTGCTCCCTGAAAGCTGGGATCAGGCCGTGCGGCGCCAGCAGCCCCTGGGCCCGGCCCGGCCGGCTCTCACCGTTGTGCGACATGCCCAGGGCCAGGCATTTCTGGAAGCGGCAGTGCTGGCACTTGTTGCGGTTCTTCTTCTGGATCTTGCAGCTCCGCTCGCACTTCTCGTACTCCAGCTTCATGCGGATCGTCCGACGGAAGAAGCCCTGAGGGAGCGAGACCGTGTGCGGAGGCATGGGAGGGGGGAGAGGTGGGAAGCCTTGCTCTGCCCACCGCATTCTGCTGCGGGGCCCAATTATCTATCAACAAATAAAAATCCCCCCGCCGGCGCCATGGCTCACTAGGCTAATCCTCCGCCTTGCGGCGCCAGCACACCGGGTTCTAGTCCCGGTAGGGGTGCCGGATTCTGTCCTGGTTGCCCCTCTTCCAGGCCAGCTCTCTGCTGTGGCCAGGGAGTGCAGTGGAGGATGGCCCAAGTGCTTGGGCCCTGCACCCTATGGGAGACCAGGAGAAGCACCTGGCTCCTGCCATTGGATCAGCGCGGTGCGCCGGCCGCAGCACGCCGGCCGCAGCGGTCATTGGAGGGTGAACCAACGGCAAAGGAAGACCTTCCTTTCTGTCTCTCACTGTCCACTCTGCCTGTAAAAAAAAAAAAAAATCCCCAAACTGGCAGGTCATGGGGAAACTGTTTTGAAGGAGACAGGGGGAAACAAAGGAACGCTAAAACTTGGGAATTAAAATATACTTATTTATTTTAAATGCCCAAAGAAGTCTTAAAGTTCCTCCTTTGTCTGGTAGCATAAAATTGTCAGCTTGATTTGTTCATAAATGTATCTGGCTCTGTGTGTCTTGTAGGCGATGGTTTAATAATATAGTTTGTGAAAATCTGATGGGTGTTCATTGGAGAAAGAAATGTAATTATTTCTTTTTTTTTAAATTCCACCCCCACCCCCCCACCCACCACCAAGAGCCTCTTCAAGTCCTGGCCTACACGACAGCTCGGTCCTCAGCCCTCACTCTGTCCTGCCTGCATTCTGGAGCCTGGTCCCCAGGGGGCGCCAGCTGCCCACAGAGCCCACAAGAGCGCCTGGGTTGGCAGCAGGTGCCCGAGAGTAGGCCTGACAGGGAACCCCTCCTCTCCGGCCTGCCTGGCTGCCTCTGCACGCGCACGTGGGAATTCTGCAGCAGGTGCTGTTGTGGCAGGGAAAGCCTTGTGTCGGGTCAGCTCCCCGCGTGCTCACAGCCCCCTTGGCAGCCACACCCGCAGTCTGTACCTTGCAGCCCTCACACGCATGGACACCGTAGTGGAAGCCTGAAGCCTTGTCTCCGCACACCCGGCACTCCATGTTGAGGCTGCCGCACGAGGCCCCGTCACAGCCCATCTGCAGCTGGTCCAGCAGCACGGGCGGCGAGGAGCTCTGGGACAGGTCTGTGGGCACAGGAGGGAGGGCAGCGTCACTCTTGGCCAGGCCTGGCTGAGGGCAGGAGCACCTTAGCCCTGGACTTGGCCTTGAGGAGCTGTGTGGTCTCAAGAGTTGACTTTTCTGAGGACCACCAGTTCCTTCAGCTGGCGTGGTGTGTGTGTGTGTGTGTGTGTGTGTGTGTGTGATGGCTTCTCTGGGAGGTTGGACCCAAATCCCCCAAGTGTCCCCACCAGCCCTGAGCCTGACCCACAGCAGCTACGTGGCAACCTTAGTCACACCAGCGGAAATGTCCAGAGCTCCCCCTGCTTTTCTATGACACGTGGCGGTGTTTGAACTGCGGTGTTGACAGCATCAGCAAGTAGCCGGCTAGGGCTAAGACTTCAGGATACACACGGTCAGGTGACCACGAGAGAGCCGCACGAGTCTCTTCTGACTTGCCCCTCAGACCCTGGGCCATGAGCCCTTCCCCTCGGGAAGGGGGACCTGAACTGAGCCTGGATGCCCCGACTCCCAGCCTAGCGTCGGGTTCACGGCCTCACGCGCTGCCATGCTGGCCTGCCGGTTTCTGCTCTTCTCCGACGCCTGCGCAGCCTCCTCTGACAGGAGCCAATCCCTAAGCAGACACCCAGCCAAGCAGAGTCTAAGCCACCCTGCCGAGCCCACACGAACATGCTCTAGGCTTGCGGTGCTCCTCTGCAGCACAGGCCGCGTGCCCTTGACTCCCCTACCACGGGAGTCAACCCACCAACCAGGTCCCAACCCTCCCCTCTACTCTCCTCCCCACTTCCTGGCTCTCCCTCGGGCCCTCAGAGTGGCAGTGAGAAAGCTTTTCTCCCCGAGTGGGCTTCATCCTGCCATGCCGGCTGCTCCTCTCCTGGCAGGTTAAGTTTAGGCATGATCCAAATACCTAAATGGCCTGTCTTGTCCTGGTGCCTTAACTCCCAACTTCAGTCTCGCCATGGGTGCGGTGGGGGAGCTTGCAGCCGGGGAGGGGGAGCTGTGGTCAGGGACAGTGAGGCTGCTCTGGTCCTCTCGGGCGCCCTGGCACCTCTGCTGTACTCTGCGCATTTGTTCGTTGCTGGGTGGCACCCACTATGTGGAAGGGCTCAAAGGGCAGGAGCTTGGGCCACAGGGCACTGCTGTGGTCAGGCATTCTGCCCGGCGCTGGGAGCTAGGGTGCCGAACACCTGCAGGCTCAAAAGCCCTTTGGGGAATCAGCAGTCCCCCAGCCGCTGGGGACTCCTGGTCCCAGCACCCGCTTTCTAGCAGGGCTGGGCAGGACCTGCTGTTCACAGTTCTAGCAGCTGGGAGACGAGACAGGGGCTGCTCAAGCCCTGTGTGGAGACCCGTGTGGATGCTGGGGCAGGGAGGGTTTCCTGTGGGCCGGGCAGTCTGTGGGCACTTGTCGCGCTGTTCTGTGGCTTGCACACCTGCCTCCTCTGGGAGACTCGAGCGTCTCTCACCACGTTCCCCTGGGAGCTCAGAGCCCGCCTCCACCAAACGAGTCCTGGCCACGGTGACCAGGTACCTCTGATTAGTCACATCTCCTGGTGGTGCCTTCCTCATTCCCTTGGTTGCTGCTTAAACTGCACATGGTAATGCCACCCTCTCCATTCATTCAACAGGCACTTAATGAGTACCTGCTGTGTGCAAAGCAGGACCTCACACCCTACCCTTAAACAGCTTACATAACAAAGAGATTAGGCAAGTAGAACACAAGATAGGGAGGGGCGATGCCTGGTAGAGCCCGAGTTAGGAGCCACACGGCCTGAGTTCAAATCTCAGCTCTGCAGGGTCTGACTAAAGTGTCCTGGGCTCAAATCCCAGCTCTGGCCCTCTAGGGCCCAGTTTCTACTTCAGCAAAATGGCGGTCAGGGAGTCATGGTGAGGAGTAGTTAACACAGAGTTAGATCTTGGAACGCAGAAGTGCCGTACAAATACCAGGACGAGCTGGATCAGAAAGCCACCATTCTAGGGGAGTGTTTGGCCTAGCGGTTGAGACATCCATGTCCCACACTGAGGTGCCTACGTTTGATGTCCTCTTCTGGCTCACTTTTTTTAAAAAAAGATTTACTTATTCACTTCGAAAGCATTATAGAGACAGAGATGGGGAGGGAGAGAGATCCTCCATCTGCTGGTTCACTCCTCAGATGGCCACAACAGCCAGGGCTGTGTCAGGCTGAAGCCAGGAGCCCAAACACTGGGCATCTTCAACTGCTCTCCCAGCCACATCAGCAGGGAGCTGGATGGGAAGTGGAGCAGCCAGGACACAACGTGGCACCCATGGGAGATGCCAGCATTGCAGGAGGCGGCTTTACCCACTATACCACAATGCCAGTGCCTCCTCTGGCTCTGGACTCCAGATTCCTGCTATTGCAGACCCTGAGCAGCTGTGGTGATGGCTAAAGTTGTTGGGTTCCAGCCACCAATTTGGGAGACATGAACCTGGTTTCTGACTCTTGGTGTTGGCCCCCATTGGGGTCACTGCAGGCACTTGAGGAGTGAAACAATGGACAGAAGCTCTTCAGGCTGGGGACCATGACTCTTCTTTTCTCTGGTCATTCACCCTCTTCCTCAACAGCCTCCCAGAAACCCAGAGGGGTGTGTGCCCTGCATGAGGCCAGATGGAGCCCTGTCTTGCTGCAGGTCCCTGGCTCAGGAGTGTCAATATCTCTGGAAGAAGCCAAGATGCTGGGACCCCATGGGCCCCAAGAAGCACTCAGAGCCTGAACTGTGTCCCAGGGGAGTCCCGGCTGGGAGCTGGCTGCTACTAGACTGGGAAGAAACAGGTCCAAGGGGCCCAGAGCTCCTGTCCCAGGTGCTGAACTCCAGAGCAGTAAGGGAGTGCTCAGTGATGGTGGCAAGGCAATGGGCAAGTTTAGCTTCTGCCTATTTGAGGTGAGTAACAGTCCAGAAACTCACACTCAGGACCGAAAGAGGCAGGGGCGAGATGGGGCGTGGTGGGGCTGGAGTGTGTTCATCCTGTTGGCGAGGTTTGCTGTGGGCTGCTTGTGTATCCTGGAGAAGGCAGCAATGTGCAGGTGGGTCTTCCAAAGATAAAGCTCCTGTTGCTTCCCGGCTGCCCACCTGGTTTAGGAGTTCATCTCCAGGGCTGGCGCTGTGGCGCAGTGGGTTAAAGCCCTGGCCTGAAGCGCCGGCATCCCATAGGGGTGCCAGTTTTAGTCCTGGCTGCTCCACTTTTGATCCAGCTCTCTGCTATGGCCTGGGGTAGCAGTAGAAGATGGCCCAAGTCCTTGGGCCCCTGCACCTGCGTGGGAGACCTGGAAGAAGCTCCTGGCTCCTGGCTTCGGTTCGGCACAGCTCCATCCATTGTGGCCAACTGGAGAGTGAACCAACAGATGGAAGACCTCTCTCTCTGTCTCTCCCTCTCCCTGTCTGTAACTCTACCTCTCAAATAAATAAATAAATAAATACTAATAAGAAGAAAAGAGTTTATCTCCAGGGGCTAGTGCTGTGGTGTAGCAGGTAAAGCCTCTGCCTGTGGTGCCAGCATCCCACACGGGTGCCAGTTTGAGTCCTGGCTGCTCCACTTCTGACCCAGGTCCCTGCTAAAGTGCCTGGGAAGGCAGCAGAAGATGGCCCAAGTCCTTGGACCCTTGCACCAACTTGGGTGACCCAGATGAAGCTCCTGGCTTTGGCCTGGCCAGTACTGGCTGTTGCGGCCATTTGGGGAATGAACCAGCAAATGGAAAAATCTGTCTCTCTGTCTCTCAGTGCCTCTGCCTCTCCATCTCTGTGATCCTGACTTTCAAATAAATAAGTTAATCTTTTTCAAAATAGTTTATCTCCAAATCACCATGACATCCCACCCAAAAGAAAAGATGGCAGAACCACCACCACGACCTCTAGGTCAGAGGTGGGGGCAAGTGGGTGTCTTGATGCAGTGGGAGGCTGGGGTTCCAAGAAGCCGCTCCCACACTGGGAGTCCCTACCTCAGAGGCCCTTGGCCTTGCCACTTGAGGCCGCCTGCCTGCACACACAGCTGCTCTCCCCCAGCGCTGCACGGTGTTCTCACCACACCCATGCTTACCCCTTCCCACTGCACTTGCTCACCCGATGAGCCAGCAGGCCCTGGGCCCTGCCTCGCAAGCCTCAGCCTGCCTGCCCTGCCCATCTGACTTCCCAAACACCTTCCAAGGGCCTACCTCTACCGGACAGGGAGGGGAAGGAAAGAAAAGCCAGCATCTGTCAGCCCCTACTAAGTGCCAAGCACGCTTGCGTCATATCATCATCACCTTAGAAGTCAGTGTGTACCGACCCTGGGAGGAAGGTGAGGCTCAGTGAGAGTAAGGCCGTGTATCCACCGCACGGCTGGGCACTCCACACCACTCCCCTCATGTAACCTCACGGCGCCTCTTCACGCAGCGCCTCCTACGTACTTCATAGGTGAGGAAACAGATGCAGGAGGCTGAGTAACTCGCTGACAGCGCAGTGATGGTTTCATGTGTCAGCCCGGCTGGGCCACGGTGCCCAGACTACACGTGGCTCCGGACGTCTATTTTCAGACATGACTCTGAGGAAGGCAGACAGCCTTCCATAATGTGAGTGGCCTCATCCGATAGTTGAAGGCCTTCAGGAAACAGACAGCTCTCCGCCCCACCCTGGGAAGACGGCATTCCGCCCCCAGACACCTGCGCACTTGAGCTGTGACGGGCTCCAGCCTGCTGTTTGTCCTGCAGAATCTGGACTTGCCACAATTTCTTCTCCCTTATTTATTCGAAAGGCAGAGCAACAGAGAGGGAGGAGGAGAGAGGGAGCGAGGAGAGAGGTCTTCCATCCGCTGGTTCACTCTCCAAATGGCTGTCAACAGCCAGCTCTGGGCCAAGCTGAAGCCAGGAGCCAGTAACTCCATCCTGGTCTCCCACATGAGTGGCCATCATCTCCTGCCTTCTAAGACACCTTGGTAGGAAGCTGGATTGGCAGCAGAGTAGCCAGGACTCGGACCCTACACGTTTCTCAGGAGAACCCTAACTAATCAGTAGCAGCATGAGAATTTTATCTAGAACCATTCAGCTCCTAGAGCTGAGCTCTAACCGCCACACCTACGACTCCTCACACACACACTCAGTACTGCTAATCAATGACATGATTATGATAAACAACTGCTGAGGACATGATGTGGAATCCAAATGTTTGGACTCAGGGTAAATATTGGCCCTTTCACCCAGAGGGTCAAGTATCAGTTTCGCCTCTTTGATTACAAGTTCAGCAAATAGACACTGTTTACCTTACTCACATATTTATGTGTGGCTGAGAGCTCTCCTGCATATCTAGTCTCTGTCGTTGGAGGGACAGTGTTGTCACAGCGGTGAGGGAAGGCAAGCTGGGCTGGCTGCTCTATTTCCTTCACTGGGAGAGCCCACAGGCGAACAGGCACCCTTTAGCTCCTGAAGTCAGGGTAAATTCTGCAGCGATCTGGGGCTGGGGAACCAAGCAATCTCTTCACTTCTGTTGTCCGGTGAGCTTGGACTGTGGGCTCCTTGGGGCAGGCCCTCAGCCTTGTCTACCACTGACCAGCCAGTCCCTGGACGCCCCCCAATGCTGGCTGAGTGAGAGAACAGCTAGGGCCAGGAGGAAGGACACTTTGTCTTCCTCCTTCTCAGTGTGACAGAGGGGAATATCATGAAGCAGGAGGACAGGCGGACAGGCAGACAGGCAGACAGGCAGACAGGAGGACAGGTGTGGTGTGTGTGTGCACTGGCTCTGGCTGCCCCTGCCTCCACCCACCGAGGGGACTGTGAGCAAGCGAGTTTTTGCTGCTTCCAGCTTCCTTCTTGCCTGTCCTGTCTGCCTCCAAGGGGGTGAGGAGCTCAGCGCGTGCTGAGCTGGGTGCACTGTAGCCTTCCTGCTGTTTTCTGGCTCTTTAAGGAGAGGAGACTGGAGGCCAAAGCCACAAACTCATGGGGACAGAAACAGCGGCTGCTAAGACCAGTGGTGGGCCAGACATCCCCATTCACTCCTCACCTAACTGGCCCTCGAGGAGTGCTGGATATAGCCTTTAAAGGTGAACTGAACTCAGAGGTGAAGGCAGAAAGAAGGGCCACAGTACACTGTGGCAGACCTGGCTTCTTGCCCTGGTTGATATGATCTCAAAGCCCCTCCTGCTCCCAACATAGGATACAAGGCTCTGTCTCCACCTGCTACCTGTCCAACTAAAAAAAAAAAAAAAATCAAACACAATTTACTTTAAGCTTTCAAAGAAAAGCAGAGCAGCTAGTGCATTTTAAATCAGAAAGCAGCACAGGACTGCTGAGGATGCATAAGGCGTGCAGCACCTCGTGACAGGACCTTCTCACCGGGGCCTGTACCCTGCAGTCAGGCCTTCTGCATATGCTTCTCTGGCGCCTTCAATGGCCCAGGATTTCTCACAATGGGATCCTCAATTTGTCAGGAACTTGTTTCTCTAGGAATATATATAAACCCAACTTATCCTTTAAAAATTTTTTTTAAATTTATTTGAAAGGCAGAAAGAGAGAGAGAATCTTCCTTCTCCTGGTTCACTCCCCAAATACCCTCAACAGCTCATGCTGGGCCAGGCCAAAGCCAGAATCCTGGAACTCAATCTGGGTCACCCACATGGGTCGCAAGGAGCTAAGTACTAGACTCATCATCTGCTGCATCCCAGGGTGCGCAACAGCAGGAACCTAGAATCAAAAGTGGAGTCAGAGGGGTTGGCGTGTGGCACAGCAGGATAAGCCGCCACCTGCAATCCATCTGAGTGCCAGCTTGAGTCCCGGCTACCACACTTCTGCTTTCATTTTGTTTTTTAAGATTTATTTGTTTGTTTGAAAGGCAGAGTTACAGAGAGGCTGAGGCAGAGAGAGAGAGAGCAAGAGAGAGAGAGATAAAGAGAGAGGTCTTTTATCCACTGATTCACTCCCCAAATGGCTGCAACAGCTGGAGCTGAGCTGATCCAAAGCCAGGAGCCAGGAGCTTCTTCTGGGTCTCCCAGGTGGGTACAGAGGCCCAAGCACTTGGACCATCTTCTGCTGCTTTCCCAGGTGCATTAGCATGGAGCTGGATTGGAAGTGGAGCAGCTGGGTCTCAAATCGGCGCCCATGTGGGATGCCAGCACTGCAGGCGGTGGCTTAACCCACTACGCTACAGCACCAGTCCCTGCTCCACTTCTGATCCAGCTTTTGTACCCAAGTGGGAGACCTGAATGGACTTCAGGTTCCTCCTGGCTTTGGCCTGACCCAGCCCTGGCTGTTGTGGCCATCTGGAGAATTAGCCAGTGATGGCTCTTTCTCTCTCTCTCTGTAACTTTGCCTTTCAAATAAATTAAATAAAAAAAGCAAGCAAGCAAGCAAGCAGAGTTGGGACTTGGGCCCAGGCCCTGATACAGGATGTGCACGTCCCAAACACCCACCTGCCTTTTTAATGAGTACAGGGTATTTACAGGCTGTGCTCCATCCACAGATGGAGCTTCCAGTTTCTGCTCTCATGAGCAGCACTGCAGTGTGTCTGCTGCTGTAGAGATCCCTGCGCACGCTGGGCCAGTGTTCACACAGGATACATTCCTGGAGGTACACGTGCATGGCCAGTGGAACACACACTAACAAGTGCCGGCCTGCACCCCGCGCTGTCCTTCTACCCTCACCAGTGGCCGCAGCACCACGTCTTCACCCCGGCCAACACCCACCACGCAGCCCCCTCTACCAGTCCGACAGGCCAGGCCAGGCCAGGTGACATCTCACCGTAAAATGCCTTCCTTGATTGTGAGTTAGACGGAGAAACGGTTATGGTTTTCTGGCTACCAGTCCTGCTATGAACTCCCTGGCCTGTTTTGATTTTCGTGTCAGTTAGCTAGTCTTGTAGAATTATGGGTACTTTTTATATACTGAGGCTTGAACACACAGCAATTAGGTTAAGCAGCCTTCTCCTGCTTTAATTACCGAACAATGAAGTCTTTCTACTGCGACTTTATCCATGTATTGATAAACGGGACTATTAAACACTGTGTCACAATGCGGCACCATGTGAATGGCTGGCAATTCTGCCCCACACACTTCCCCCAAGCACTAAACCTCACCAATAAAGCTGGCGGGGGTGCCACCGCCACGCCTGCCTCTGCTCCCGGGCACTGCACTTTGGCCTGCATGTGGACAGAGCAGTACCACCGGGGGTGTGGAGAAAACCACAGGACAGATGTCACTCTGAAGATGACTTCTGTCTGCCCAGGCCCAGGTATGGGACCGAGGTGGCTAAGGCAGGTGGCGAGGTCACAAACCTGTGGTCTTTCCCTCCTCTTCCCTGTAACACCCTGGCTCGTTTAGTTCCCTGTGTCTTTCCTCTCCCTAGCCCCCCTTGCCTTTCTCAAGTTCAGACAGAATGTGTAAATAACTACTCCTGGCTAGATGGCCATTCCTTTCTTCTGAAAACTGCTGGGTCTCCAAAGCCTCTAGCCACCAGCCGCCAAAGAGAGTGGGTTACTGTGGGGGTTGGGGACGCCTTCTCTTTGGCCCCCAAATCACACCAGACCTACTTTGGTTACTCCCAGATGTCCAGGGTGGGATCAGCAGGACTGGATGAATGGCTTCCTCTTCACCCTACCAGATCTGGCCCAGGAGAGGAAGAATCCTGCTCTGCAGTCCACAGTGGAGTGCATCAAGGGCTCGGGAACCCTGAACTGCAGGCCTGGACAGGGGCTGGTCCTAACTCCACAGTCCCTGCCCTGCCTTAATTAGGGGAGTTACCATCTGCCTAAGACACAGGAGGGCCCAGGGCTCATCCCTGAGGGCAGGCTTGCTCCTCTGCCCTGAATCATTTTCTTTTCTTTTCTTTTAATAGAAAGCTTTTATTTAAAGCCGGCGCTGCGGCTCACTAGGCTAATCCTCCGCCTAGCGGCACCGGCACACCGGGTTCTAGTCCCGGTTGGGGCGCCGGATTCTGTCCCGGTTGCCCCTCGTCCAGGCCAGCTCTCTGCTGTGGCCAGGGAGTGCAGTGGAGGATGGCCCAGGTGCTTGGGCCCTGCACCCCATGGGAGACCAGGAAAGAGCACCTGGCTCCTGGCTCCTGCCATCGGATCAGCGCGGTGCGCCGGCCGCAGCGCGCTGGCCGCGGCAGCCACTGGAGGGTGAACCAACGGCAAGGGAAGACCTTTCTCTCTGTCTCTCTCTCACTGTCC